TATTATTATTATTATTATTATTATTATTATTATTATTATTATTATTATTATTATTATTATTATTATTATTATTATTATTATTATTATTATTATTACCTTCTATCACATGGTGTACACGAAGTTTAGCTTCTTTAACACACTATTCATTATCACATGTATGCACACTTCTTATCATACCTACAAACTACCATATAGTCTTACATGCCTACACTAATAGTCTTGCAAGACTACAGTTCCAAGGCTATACTAAAGTCTTACCAACTATACTTACAAGACATTAAAGTCTTAAAGTAGTAAAAAACAAAACAATTGTCTTACATGCCTCATGTGATTTTATTCATGACAAGATCACACTTTCTTATTTTACAAATACAATAATGATTAAATAAATTTTACAAATATCAATTCCTTATTTTATAAATACATGGTGTACACAGAGTTTAGCCTCTTTAGCATATTATTCATTATCACATGTGTTGCACCCCAAAATTTGCCCAACCTTTTCTTTGCTGGGTCTATGTTTCATAACATTCATATAGCATTAGCATTTGCATATCATTGTTCATTTTACAGGGGATTGAGAGAGGTGTGCCTAGCTAGATGAGGTTATCAAAGCTTCTAAGCCTAATCAAGAGGTCTTATCCAAGCTATTCAAGTGCTTATCATCATCATAATAAAGTCAAAGTTCAAAGAAAGTGCAGAGGAGTGAATATGGATCACCTCCTGTCTTGGGGGTCAATTGAAGGTTATCAGATGATTATGAATCCATGGTTAGGGATAGATAACATTGTATAAGCTCATTGGAAGCCTTGAGGGTCATTGAGGAGCTTGTGCAAGTCATTATTCAAAGTGCAAGAAGCCACAACCAAAGGTGGTGCGGTTAGGTTTTTCATCTGGTCAACCCCAAGTCAACTGTGAATTTGAAGGAGATTAAGACTTAATTCCAAGTCTTTGTGATCATGGAATGTTGTGTTGAGACATGTCGTATATCATTTCAAGGTCAATTCATCAAGATTCAAGAGTGTGAGAAGTTGCTAAGCTAGGGTTTCTAAGCTTGTCAGAGTAAAATCCCCTATCTTAGTGCCCAACTTCAAGACCACATAACTCAAGATACAAGTTTCATCTCATCTTGACTCCAACATGAGACTTGTAGAGCATGTTCTTAGATTTCTTTTGAGTACTAGAAGTCTTCCATCTGATTTCTAGAACTCAAGATATAAAGCAGACAAGTTATTGGTCATCAGATGAATGTGATTTTGGTCCATGAAAGTCAACCAACTTCCAAGACATTTTTGACCTAGAAGGATGTCTCTCCTCATCTTGACCCAAACATTAAAGTTCTCCCTTATGATCTTATCTTTCTAAAAAGTACTAGAAGTCCTCAAGCTGATTTATGAAGCTCAAGATATGAAGCTTACAAGGCAGGGGTATTTTGGGAAACTAAGATTATGCTTCAAATAATGCACTGGCTTGAGTGACAAAGGGGTTACCGTGAATTTTCATACTCTCAGCAATTAAGGTTTGTACTTCCTTATATCTTCTGGTCTTTGCCATCTTTGTGATATGCTTCTGAAACTTCTTTTTTTTTTTATTTGTTCAGATGCCGGTAACTGTCGCAAGATACACTAACTAATGTGGCAATATGCATTTCATGTAGTAGCAACCGTCGGGCCACTAAGACTTTGGCAATGTTCAAATTGGTAGTTGCTCAGTAACAATTTTTTGATCTCGTTTGCATCAAAGGCTCTCGCATCTTGCAGGGATTTACCGAAGCCACTCGTTTACTCTCGGTGAGTGAATTGCTCTCGATTGGGTATGTTGAACTACTTCTCTCCTTTAAAACCTTTGTATTGATTCATTCTTATTTCCTGCAACGTAGCCACAACCGCGGTTATACGGGTGGAGTACGTGGCTCAATACTTATTCCAGCTGACACGAATGAGCTTGGGGCGGTATATTTGAAGAAAAAAGAACTCCTAAGAACTGAACGCCTACTTACTGAAGATGTATTATGGATCTCTTCATGAAATTCAACTCGGCCATACATAGAATTGTGGAATCAATTTGAAATAACTTTGCTTGCACATGCGTTACATACCAGGGAAACTCTTCTGTATGAAGTTTGTATAGATTTAGGATTTGGAATTGTGTTATTATTTTGAATGGCAATGTATGTGACTAAAACAAAACCAATGAATTTGCACGTCTCCTCCTTTTTGAACAATAGGCAATGGAACCAAACAACATTTCTCTTGCTGCTACTTCATATGCTTAGGCTGGCATACTAGGCTTGCTTATGATTGTAATTAATCTTGTTGTTTCAACTCGAAGCTGTAAGAAGTTATATAGTGGCGGTTTGCAGTTGTCTAATGAAAACTTCTTCCCTTCTTGTTTTACAATGCCAAATATACTTCCTCAATAATGACAGATGATTAAAATGGGATATGGGTCACTTATAATTTTGGGAATCTTTGTATACGTTGAAACTTTTATCATGCAATCATTGATTTTGTATAGGGAGGCCTTTGAAAGAAAATTAGAGCAACTTGCATCCTTTAACTTGAAGTTTGTAAGAAACAGAACTGAGCTTTTGTAAGCGCTATGAACCTTATCCTGACAACCTTCTTGCTACATCCTTCTTAACTTTATCTATTCGAAACGTCAACAAATGAACCTGAAGTTTCTTTTTTTTTCAAGATTAGAGAGACATGAGCTAAGGTTCCATTTCATGAGCAATGTCTTGCTTGATCTTCATAAAATTAAATGGGTAATGAGCATCGCTTTTTGAAGGAGTCTCAAGATGCCATTTAGAACAACTTGTCACACAACCATGACCAATTTTTAAGCGACCGTGTTCCATATCAACGGATAGAAAACCTTAATCCTTCCTTGGGAAGTCTTGAAGGGAACTTGACTCATGAATTCAACAACTTGTAAAAGGTTGGCATCTTTATGGGCGTACACACAAGAGCTACATGGCTTTCGACCCTCCTTCAGTAAGCCTACAAAAATAAACAAAACTAGATAAACAAAAAAGTTAGCTATGCATGAATGATAATGTTAAATGATATGCGAAAAAATCAATGAATCTAAGGGTAAATTTTGGGGTATGACACAATCCTTCTCTCCTTTTAATCCCAATGACCTATTGAATGTCATTAGCAATAATTGAAGCTCTCAATACAAGTTGGTGGTTAATGCATCCATCATCAACACCATACATGTCATCTGGTTCCATAGAAATTAGGCCAGATTCAACAATCCAAAACTTAACTTGACTTCTTTTAAGGCATGAATTTTTGCTGATTATAAAATTTATGGCAATACCACCAAGCTTTCCTCAAGCTTTCCATTAGAGACTTCATCATTTTAAAATCCTTCGAAGTGAATATTTGTCCTCCAAAGGCCACGTCCATCAAAGAAATTTTTTGGAAGCCTCATCTTCCTAACAATACAAGTGTAACATAGAATAGGCAACATTTGGATGTCCATGTCGAACCTCTTGTGCAGGAGTGTTCATAGATCATGAGGTCAGATTTATAGGTTGCTTCACTGTTAATTTTGGCATTAATATTCTTTCCATGTTGAGCTTTTAGGGGTCATTCATGCTATTGAAGGTGCTCATGCCATATCATTAATATTCTTTGACCAAAGACATTAATACTCTTTTAGGGGTTATTCATGCATTAATATTCTTTGACCAGAGGCTGAATTTCATCATCTCACACACACACACACACGCGTATAAAGAGGACAATAGTGTAACATACAAATCGGTCGCCCTTGACCTTAGTTTCACTAGTTTTGTTTAGTTCAATATGATGTCAAGTGAGGCTTTATCCCTGTATAACCATAATAAATTGGGGTTTTTCATCTTTAAATTTTTTCCGTTTTAAAGAGCTTAGTTTTGCCATGTTTTAATTGTACATTTTTTAAAATATATTAATTAGGTGTTTTCATCTTTAAATTTTTTTCATCTTGAAAAGGTTGATTTTGCCCCGTTTTAATTGTACTTTTTTTTTTATATAATGATCGAGCTTTTAGCTTGCCTTTGTTTAAAAAGAAATTGTGGGTAAAAATAATCTCTATTATGGATTAAAAACAATATTCTAAAATACCACTTTTTTTTTTTTGACAAAACTCATTACAATTTTACTGAAATAGCAGATGCATATTTGGAATTTGAAAAAATATTATAAATTACTTTTATTAATAATATACAATCAATAATTAAAAAATGAAAATAATAAATAAATAAAAATATAATAAAAATCATCATTAATATTTTATTAAAATTTTAATGGATATAATGTAAATTAGATTTTCATTTAAATAGTCTAGGTTACATTTTTTAAAAGTGAATAAATAAAATATTGCAGATTTATATAATGTTCTCTCATACTATCAACTCGGCTAATTTAATAAGATAACATAAATTAATTTTATATTATCATTTAATAAGAACGAGTATTAAATAATTTTAAAAAAAATAATGTAAATTAATTTTATATTATTGTTTAATAAAAAACCACACGTCTTTCTTAATTTTAAAATATATATTTTAACTTTAAAATATATGTATGATTTAAGAAAGGATGTAAAACACATCTTTTATTTTCTTCTTTTACAAAATCGTAAAATAATTAATAAGAAGGCATAATTTAGGTATGTTGTAAACTTTTTCAATACTATTTGATTTTCAAATCTTATATATATATATATATATATATATATATATATATATATATATATATATATATATATATATATATATATATATATATATATATATATATATATATATATATATAAAACACTTAATTTGGTTCCATCTACACAAATAGAACATATTTTGATTCCTTCCCATTGGACATTCACATAAGACGACACAAAACCCAAATTGAGCAGTGTCGTTTAACTCTGATACTCTTCCTCTCTTTCTCTCACAACCTTGTTTTTCTCGCGCAACACAGTGAGCGAGAGCTAGAGAGAGAAAGAAAATGGGGTTCTTCTCCTTCCTGGGTCGCGTTCTCTTTGCTTCCCTCTTCATCCTCTCCGCATGGCAGATGTAATCTCTCTCCCTCTCTCCCTCTCTCCCTCTCTCTTCAGATCCACTATTTTTTTCACATTACTTCAAAATTGTTGCTTTTATCTTTTTGCTCTGTACTTTCGGTTTTGTGAATCTGGGTTTTTCTTTCAGATTTAGGTTTTCAGTTTATTAGACGCGTATATAGAATTCGATTTCCTATTTGTAACTGTGTTTCTTCTCATTGTTTTTTCGGATTGTTGTGTTATTTTGAACAAAAATTATCATGCAGTAGCAATTACAACTATCTTGAGCTCAAAGTGCTGTGTAATAGCTGCTATAGCAGCTTTATAGAATTGTAGCATTGGGAAATTTGAACCTGAGATCTGAGATTGGGTTTAATTGTTGTTCCTTATAAGTTGCATGCTTCATTTCATTGGGTTTAATTGTTATTACTTTACTTTGTATCATATGCCTTTGACAAGGTTTTAGCCAATCAAATGTTTGAATTGCTCAAGTAATTATTCATTTTCTAATGATATTATTGAAATTAAGTTTAGTGCTTTCTTATTTATATTGAATGTATGCTGCTAGGTTTAATGAATTTGATGCCACTGGTGGACCATTTTCAAAGGAGTTGGTTCCCAAGCTCACGATTGTGAGGAAAAATTTATCCTCCAAATTGGGAATAGCGATACCAGATTTTAATGCAACTTATGTAAGATTATCTTTCCTCTTCTAATATGTTATGAAATTTTCTGAATGGAACTCAATTTTTACTTCTTGTCTTTCTGATTGAAATGTTTATATTATATAGGTTCGTCAAGTTGTTGCAACTATCATATTTCTAAAGGGAGTTGGAGGAATTCTATTCGTGTTTGGCAGCACATTTGGATCCTTTCTTTTGGTAAAGGCTTCCTCTCTAGCTTAAGAATGAATAGACATTGCCATTTTCCTAATAGAGTTTTCAAGTTTTGAATCTTTTGATATTCTTTTGGTCCTAGAATATTACTAATTCGAACTGCGTTTTTTCCTCTTTACTTTTGTAGCTTTCGCACCTGGCGCTTACTACTCCAATTCTATATGATTTCTACAACTACAGACCTACTAAGCCTGAATACGGTTTACTTCTAAATGAGTTCATTCAGGTACATGCAAACTCTTGATATTCCCTTGGCGGACTATGAATTCATCGTAATGACAATCTGATACATGTTTTCACTTTTGGTGGCAGAACGCTGCACTTTTTGGTGCATTGCTATTTTTCATAGGGATGAAGAACTCAATTCCCAGGAAACAGTTCAGGAAGAAGACGACCCCAAAAACAAAACCAAAAACAAAAGCAGTCTAGAAATTAGAAAGATATGTAGTATCTGTTTACCGTGAACAGGCTGTCGAATCGCTGTGTTGCCGTGTTTTGGAATAGTTAGTTAAACTTTTTTACATTGTTGTTTTTTGTTAATTGGCACATAACTTGGTTATGGATGTGCTTGAGGTTTGTTCACAGTTCTGTTGTAGTTGCGGCTAAGAATAGCTATTAGCAAAAGATTTGGTTAGATTTGGTTGCTACTCTCAGTGATTGTTTTATCGGTTCAATTTGTTTTATTTAGTCTAGTTCAACCAATCACTCTTCTAACTTCCATGCAACAAAAATATTATTTGTTCTCTGATTAAAAAAAGGGTACTCTGGTTCTCTATCGGTTGATTTCAAAAATGTATAATGATTAAATGAAGACTTGAGGTCACATAACACCAATATACATCTTACTTTATAATTTTATAGTTATTTTACCTTTGAGCAAAAAATTAAAGCCATGTTTAAGAGGACAAAAAAATTAAAGCCATGTTTAAGAGGACTTTTGTCGTTAAGAGTTTCATATCGGACAATATATGATATGTGTAATTTACACTCTACCAATTGATTTTGTAGGGTTGAATTAAGTCTAACTATAATTTTTTAACAAATATCAAAGCTTGGTTAAAGATCTGGTGGTTTAAGATGGTTTAAGACTGTTCAAAATAACAGAATTGTAATGTTTGGTTAGAACTGTAATGTTTTGTTTGGTGTTTGGTTAGAACTGTAATTTTCAGAACTGAACCAAAAGACAAAAGAACCGTAATGTTTGGTTTGACCAGTGAATTGTATTTCAAATGACAAAAGAACCGTAATGTTTGGTTTGACCAGTGAATTGAATCAAAATACATAGATAGTTTATTTTAGAACTTAACCAAATGATAGAACTGAACCAAAACTAAAGTTGAATAAAAACTAAAGTACCAAAACTAAAGTTGAACCAAAACTAAAGTTGAATCAAAACTAAAGTACCAAAACTAATTAAAGTTGAATCCAACACAAACAATTTGTTTTAGAACTAAAACTAAAGTTGAACCAAAACTAAAGTTGAATCAAAACTAAAGTACCAAAACTAACTAAAGTTGAATCGAACACAAACAATTTGTTTTAGAACTGAATCAAATGACAAACGAACCGAACCAAAAGTAAAGTTGAATTGAACCGAAACTAAATTAAATAAAAAACTAAAATCAAGTTTAAAGTTTTTTATTAAAAAAATTCAAAAAAATTTAACGGATCGGTTCTTTTAATAAATAATTCAGTTTGATAAAAACGGTCTTTTAACAGTTTGATACATTTCGGAACTCCAAACTAATAAATCAAACCAATAACTTTGATTCGGTTCGATTTTAAATAAATTGAAATGGTTCAATTGGTTCAGATGACATTTTACTACGGTTTGGTTTGATTTTCTTACATAACTAAATCATGAGCAACCCTACTTAAAACCGATTATGGTGTACACTAGCCTGTTGTGGTGGATTGCTTTCTAACACTGCTGTTGCAGATTTTCTTCAAAATTACTTAACTTGAGGTTTACTCATTCATTACCAATTTTATTATTATTTCTCTAATAAAATAAATAGATGAGTTGAAGCTGCTGATATTTGCTTGTATTTGTTATTTCCTATAGCCATTTGACAATTCAGCGACTGTCCAAATCCATAAAAACTCATATATAATATTTAATAAATTGCTCCCATGTAGATTAATCACCAGAAGAGTGAAAACAAATTTCACTTAAAACAATGAGAAGAAAAAAGTAAAAGAACAAGAAATTGTCAATAAAAATGATTCTAGTTAAAAATGAACCAATTGCTCAAGACATTCAAAGATTGGTTATAGAGTAACCATTATTGAATTAATCAACAACTTGAGCAGTTAACTAAGCTGTTCCAATACTGAAAACAAGAATAAAAATTGCTTCTTCCTATTTAAATTCACACTTTATATAACATGTTCAAGGAGCGTAAAGTCTACTCTGAATCATCCCTTGAAGCATCCACGCCACCTTCGTCCATGGTTATGGACTCAGCACCAGAAAAAATGACTTTTCCAAGTCTACCTATTTCCATTTCTTCATCCACAGTTTCGGCGAGTTCTATACCGTAGTTTGGTTTTTTACTGTCAGCAACTTCAATATTGACTTGAGTACTCGATGCCCTATTGCTATCACAGCCGTTATCGGCAAGGTCTTCTTCATCTGACAAACATCTACAACTGTCAAACTCATCTACCTCATTAACTTGGCTCATTAACCCTTCTCTCCATGATATCCTCTGAGATTCTGATCCATTCTCAACTGTAGAACTAGATAACCAAGGTTCCTGACCATTCAATTCTTTCGGAAGTTTGCCGAGTTCAATTGACTCATAAGGCATAGTTAAACAATCAAATTGGAAACTTGAGTTAACTGAATCCTCCACTGGCACGGAACTATCGAGAACGAGATTATCTGATAGAAGAACATCACTGAATGAGTTAAAATAAGGGTTAAAATCATCTTCCTTTTGATTGTCTGCATGCGCCAGTGACAGTTCAACATGTAAATCTGAAGTGGAATCTGACTGTGGAGTTCGAATTACATTTCCACTGCCAATTGAATTCAGCGAGAAAGGAGAGTTTTCGTCAACGAGATTTTCTGAGCTGTCTGTCCTACGATTGGGAGATGTTTTGGGAGAAAACAAAATGGAGTCAAAAGGTACTTGAAATTCAGAAAGACTACCTGGAGAAATTGAAGAACTCATTTGTCTCCTCGTCCCGTTATTAGCAGCGCCGGACAAATCACTGCTATCACTTACATTCCAAAAAGTTTTAGAGCTATCGCATAGATTCCAGAATTGTTTTGAACTGGTTGACGGTGAAGTACTGGAACCAAGAGTAATGGATTCCATGAGTCCAATTTCAGACTTGCTATTCAGAATTTTTCGTGGAGAGGAAAGCCAATATACTAAAGCTTCTGTTGGCGAAGGCAACAAGGAAGGGCTATCTTCCTTAATAACATCCTTTGCTTTCTTCTCATCATCATCATCATCATCAATACTATTAGCAACCTTTCTGGCAGAGCCTGAATAGTTCTCGTCTACAGTTAGAATCCCTCTAGGCCTACATTTCCTTTTGTCGGTGACACCAGAAACAATATAGCCTGCACCATAGCAAGCAGGTGTTGTAGTTGAAACCAATGAAGAGCTACCTTGTATCTCCGGGGAAAGAGAGTTATGAATCGGTGGTGTTTTACTAATGCTTCTGTTAAGGTTATCCCCCACCTCCGTATAAACCGTAACATCCAAATCCGACCCAGAAACTCTTTTAGTCAAAGGAGACGAATTCGGGTCTCTGTAAGATGATTTGAGACGGGCAGATTCAACAGCATTAACATCCTCCTTTTTCTTTGATTCCTTCGGTGTAGATAAATTTTTTCCATTTTCATTCAAAGCCGAACTAAGCTTAGACTTTTGGCCAGTCCGAGAACCAGCTTTCTTACCAGACTGCCACTGGTAGAGACATGGAGGATTTTTCTTAGCTTTATTTGGTACAACTGTTTTGGTTTGCAGCCTAATATTATCGCCATTTGGATGATTCTCCTTCGAGGAATTGGACTTAGGTTGTTTTAATACAAGTCCATGAGATGCTGAATTGGGTGTTTTGGTGATATTTTTGGGTCTATTGACAGGGGTTTTGAAAGAAGAGGAAGCCAAGAACCCGAGGCAACCCTTTGGGACTTCTGTGGAGACAGAAGAAGAAGCATCACTACCGTTGCTGCTGCTGGAAATGCGGTAGAGATCCTGTAAAGGGCTCCGAGGACTTTGCCTCCTGTTTGAACTCGACTTCGCAGTTGTGGTTGTCGGCGTTGGTGGTGGAGGCAAACAGGAAGCTTTCTTTGATGAAAATGCTCTACTCATAGTGAGGCCTATATACACCTAAAATGCAAAATCTGCATCTGTTAGGATCAAGTAAAGAATATAACTCTTTATTCAACACCAAAAGAGAAACAAAAGTACAGAAGAATCTCAAAGGAGCACACTCCTTTCAGTTTCACAATTGATTAACCAGTCATAAAACTCAATTATAAATATCTATCTCGTCTCTACCTTGGTTGTTAAACTCGGATACCGGCGCAGCGCGGCCATCCCAAAAAATGGAACGAAAGCGGCATTATTTTAGCAACATGGATACTAATATATTTACTACTAACACACAAAATTGTTTCCGTTACAGATTTCTTGGCCGTTCTGACCACGTCACCCAATTGTTCTGTTCCGGTAACGTGTTTTTGGCTACTGTGTCATTCCGGCCGAGTTTAACAACGTAGGTCTCTACCGGTCAAAGGCTACATATGGACTTGCTAAAAAAACCAAAATACCAACAGAAATGGCACACTACACAACTATTAACAATTAACAAAAGACCTCAATCACTTACAATTAGCAACTCCACACAGTTTCATGATCCAAGTAGTTAATTCGAGATAAGACGGCTTAGATTACACATCAACAAAATTAGTTTGACACAATCTTAACACAAATCCCAATAGAACTAGCTACCTATTTGCTCTAACAGCGCTTAACTACTCTAATTCCCCTTTATTCTATACGCTAACAACATCACATTGAGTTGATCTAAAAAGAACCACATTCAACATAAGCACAAAACACAAAGGACATTTCGAAAATTTCACTTTGGAAAATATAGAAACGAGCGAAGAGGAAGAAGGGGAAGTTACCTGTGAAATGAGATTGAGAAGATGAGGTTAGAGTAAGATTCGATCTCGAATCTGGAGCAGCATTTGTTTGTCTGCAATGTTTGAGCAGAAATGGATCTGAAACAGACAACAACAATGTTCAAATTCAAGAATGTAACATTCGAGGCAAATTTTGTCATCTTGTGTCAATTCAACCACATCCGTTGATTTCATATCAATGAACTCCTACGGTCAGGATTGCTTTGCAATATTAAGAATAATGCAATTAAAAGTAAATGATAGTGTGTATAACAACACAAAACATTAAACTCTAGACCAAAAAATAGTAATTTTAAATTTCGTGGTTTTTTTTCATTGCCCGGTTTAAATTTCTTAAGTACACATTTAATATAATTTTATTCCAATTATATAACTATTGCATAACGTTTAGTAGAAAAAACTATTATATAACGTATAATTATTTTAGAAATAGTAATAATGTAGTATGTTATAGTTGTTACGAAGTAAATAATATTCCATAACGTATTGATTAGTTTGCATATGAGATTTTTTATACTCTAACAAAACACTTAGATAGGTGCATATGAAAGCAAGCATCCATGTGAAGAATGTAATCTTAGATTAAATTTCATCAAACATTTATTAGAAAACTTTCTTACGATGCGCGCGGCAACTCTACCATAATTGCTCATAAGTAAAGGTTCAAAAAATAATCAAAGTAATGTCAAAGGTTACACATAAAGATAACAATATCTTATGGGTAAGATAAGTAATATTTAAAGGAAAGTCAGATATGTCTGGAAGGCATAAGCAAAAATATTTTTTCAAATTAGGTCCAATTAACTAAAACCACTTGATAAACTAGTAAGAAAAATTTAATGATATATTTTTATTGAACCATTTAAATTATGTGTGGTTAAAATGCTCAACCGCTAAAAAAAGTTAGACCAATTGTCCACGTAATCATGATAATTAAATATTTGTGGGGTATAAGACCTCGAGAAAGATTTTTCTTCTGTTTAGGTAGTTTCTAATCAATCGGAGATAATCCTTAAACAATTTTAAACTTTAAGAACTTAATTTTTGTTTTATTACCCTCATCAAATTGATGAGTGAGAGATATATATGACGTATTTATCAGAATGAATTCATAAAATTCTCTGATCTATTGATAAAACGAAAAAGTCCAAGAAAGGGGGGATTTTTGAAATAACCTAAATAACGAGGCGTCTGAAAGGTAGTAATTTGGCTCCAACGACAAAATAGGATCAGACAAATTTTTAGTAATAAAAGTGGATTTTGCAATAGGTGGAGGAGTATAATATGTTATATTTGAAGAAGGTATAATTTGAGAGCATAAAAGGGGTCCATATTTAACTCTCGGATTACTCGGTTTCTTGCTCATTCTTGGCTTGCAAAAATTCTCGAGTTAAGAAATTGGGTAATAAATTTTTAACACCTTCACTATGTTCAATTTTCAAAATCAAAACAAGACAATAGAGATTACCACCTGACAAAAGTATGTTTTTAACTGAAATTCGAAGATGTTATGGATTTGTTTAAGAAACCATTTAAAAAGATTGTTTCTATTAAAGATTTACAAAAAAAAATTAAAAATTTAACGAATTTAAAGTTTTACTGTGTGCCGAATTATGAATGTATATCTTACATATGCAGTGAAGAGTGATCATTTAACGTTAAATGTTTTAATAATGTCATTGTCCAAATTTGACTTTTGAACTATTACGTTAGCTTGCAAACCTCCTACCTGAATATTAGTAAATTTGTGACATAAGGTAGAATTAAGTGATAATGGTGTAATCAAAGTTGTCAAACTCGCGAGTCTACTCAGACTCGTAAAGGGTCCGTAGACTCGATTCGCAGACTCGTACGCGTTTATGAAAAATTAAAAAGTGACTTTCAAATACCTATAAGTGACACATATATGACACACTCTTATGTTTTTAAACTTATAAATGCCTCGAATATGACACAAATATATAATAGATCACCGATTAACATGACATTTTAAATTTCTTACTCCATAACAAATTTCTTAACAAAAAACTCAATAATAAAAATAAACAAAATTGTAAAGTATGTAGTTAAAGATTTAAATTACTAATTTCTTCTTAATTGGCTAATACATCAAGCAAAAAAAATCATAAAACAGACATATTAATAGCTTCAAACATCCAAAGCTCCAGTGAAATCACCACCACCAATATAATCACCATCATATTTATCTGTATCTTGAGTATCATCATTAAAATCTATCCTAGATGAAACACTTTCTTCATCACTAATCAATGTTGGATTGCTTGAAGTTCCACTTTCACCTAACTTAACATTGTCACCACCGCCACTTTGCACAATATTAGTTACAACAACTTCAACTTCCATAATATTATTAGCAATGACATCATCTTACTTAACATTAACTTCAATTTACATATTTTCTTCATTAGGGTCTTCAATTAGCCATTCATCATCTGAATGACTATCTTCAAATGAAAGAACAACACTATTTAATTTTCCTTTTCCACTTTTCAATTTTAAATTATACATAACATAAACTAAATTATTCACCTTTTTTATGCAACCTATTTCTTCTCTTTGTATGAACCTAAAAAATACATAATAATTCAACTCAATGTTTCTAAAAAAATTAAAATCAAGTCTATAAACAAAAAAAAAAAACAATTCATTACAATTTCAAAGGTAATCCAATTACGTTCACAATCAGAGGAGCTCCAAGTTAAGTTTAGAACACGAATTGCAAACCTCTTTAATTCTGGAGTCATATCTCCATAGAAATATCATCCTTCAACAGGTAACATATCCCTCCTAAACTACTTTCTGCCATAAATCATAAATTTTCTATACTATTTTGTCACATGCAAATTGATACATGTGCATTGGGATCATTGGATTTGATTAGACAACGACACATCACCTCTACACAAGATATCATACACGAGAAACATTCAAGTGAAACATATAAGAAAATACTTACACAACAAATTATTGGTTTACGGCCACGAACGCGAACAAAGCAAGAAACACAACAAACTCGCGCTATTGATAAAGGGAGGAAGAAACTTTACTAAACCAAGAGACTAGGAGAGAGACTTTCTAATTTGCGTACAAGCAAAAAAATAGTGGATTTTTTTTTAAATTAAAATAAATCTTTTGGAGGATTTAGGCCTTTTTGGGTTTTAAAAAAATTCAAAAAAAAAAAATTTATAGACTTGTGAATCTATACGAGTTTGTGCAAGTCTACCCGATTCTACTCGAGTTTATAAAAAAATGATTCTATGCATGAGTCTACTCATTTATGCTTCCTAGACTCATAAACTCGTACGAGTCTACGAGTCTACCCGTGAATTTGACAACCATGGGTGTAATTTTATTTTACTTTCTTATGGATGACAATGTATGTTATTTTTTTTGTAATATGATTAGGAATCTAGTTGTGTTTTGTAACTTTTAAAGGGTAGACGTTCCTTGGCTAAGACTGACATTTGCTCTTTTTTTTATTGGATTTAATGTTCATTACTTCCAACATTTAAGAGATTTATTATAGGTGAAGGGTACATTTTCCTTGGTTGTGAGTGATAATTCTGTTCCTTGATACCCTAAGAATTCTTTATATACGTAGGTTTAACTTTTTTCGATTAAGGCTTATATTGTTCTATATGAAGGGTGAACTTTCCTTAGTTAATGTCTATATTATTGTATATAAAGGTTTAACTTTCTCTCTTAAGACTAATATTCTTATAGATGAAGAGTGAAAATTTACCAGTTAAAAGCGAATGGTAAACTGTTCTAGGTTAGGCTGATACTCGTTCCCTTCCCCTTCTTGATACTTTGGTAATTCATTGTGGGCGAAGGATAAATTTTTATTGGTTAAGGTTGATACTTGTTTCCTTCTTGTTACTTTGGCAATCTCTAATAGGAACAATCCCGACCAAGGGATAACCTTTATAGGCCCTGACCCAGATTATGTAACACCATAAACCCCGAAACTCATATAAAAAGAATTACTCAACCATTTAAGGTTTCGTCAATGACCATCACTCAAAACTCATCAAAAACATGTGACAACATGCAACGGAAAATCATTTCATAACAAATTCATAAATAAAATATTAAACTTTTAAAACACCAAAGTCAATCATTAACCCAAAACATAACAAA